CTTATAACTCTTAATTATGTCAACCTTAATGACTCTTAATTAATGTGCTCTTAATACTCTCATTTAATCAATCGCCTTAACTACTTATAACTCTCATTAATCTCTAGCTCCTTATGACTCGCCATTCACTAACTCTCATCATTGGACGCACATGAAATCTTGAGGATATCATATGAGATATCATATAAATATATCTAATATCAAATCAGTACATTATATCCATAACAATCAATATTAGATTCAGACTAGTGCTAAACATTCGGCAATAACTAATCATATGCAAATTAATTATTTCAATAACGTATTACTTTTGCAGTTTTAATCATATCAAATCATAATATAACAATTGTCAACCCATTTTCCAAGTTTGTCATTTTTTTTACTTTATTCAGCAAATACTAAAAGAAACTTGCTGCACTTTTTTTTTTAGCAAATAGTTCACATGGACATCGGGTTTTTCATGTAAAAGGAAATAGATGAAGTTGAATTATTTAGGTGAGATGAATGCTGTAGGATTATTGGGCTAAGTGGTCTTGGAGGAGACAGCTTTGGGCTTGAGTTTAGTGTTAGGATGAAGTTTTGTTACGGCCTAACCTGCTATGGACAACAAATTCCACATGAAGGAGCAGCTTGAGTGGAATTTAGCATATGGGAAATAATCATTTTTTTACATTCTGACATGAACAGTGAAATTTCACGTGAATGAAAGCAAATCAAACTGCAACGTGGCACAGTTGGGTGAATCGAAACATTTGAGTGGAATAAAAAAAAAAAGAGAAACTTTGAACTAGTTTTTTTTTTTTTTTAGTGGATGGGGATATGAAATATGTTGAAGTGCTTTGGTAATTGGGAAAGGTTGTGCATAAAAAAAAAAGTTGTAAACTGCCGCGAAGGAGATTAAGTAATAGAAAAAAGAACAAAAGCCTGTTTAATAATAACAGATGTGTAAACTTTTATGGCTTGGAATTTGCGGCCACTGGTATAAAGGACCCTCAAATGCACAAACGGAGCTTTGTATCCTGCCGTCGTTCTTCTTCAGCAAACCAATTCTGACTTGCTCAACTTGGCGTAGGAAGGGGACAAGAAGTTGCTGTTCATATGAAAGCAAAGGCTTGTGGTTGGGTAGTAGGGAAGGGCCTGATTAGTTGGAGCTTCACACAACAGGAGGAGAAGAAACGAATGAACAGCCGCTGGGGCTGTGAGGGAGACGGACAGGGAGCTGTTCGGCTTCTTGTGTGTAGGAGTGGAAGAAAGAAAACAGACAAGGCTTGTGTAGGTGAAGCTTGACTTGGGAGCTGAGTGAAGGACGGAGGTTTTTACAGGTGGAAGAAGGCTTGCAAATGGAGTTCGGCACCGTAGAAATCAAGCCAGGCAGCCCCAAGAAGTGAATTCATTTCCCTTCATTTTAACTACGAGGCCAGGTTCCTTTGAGCTGTGATTGACATTACACCTGCTGATTTTGCGGGAATTAGACGTAGGCTCGGCAGATTTTACGGGATATAATCAGAGATTTGAGCAGGTTTTCGACGGTGCCGAGGCTAGCATTCAATGTGATTTCGATTTTTGTTTGACTTGCATTTTTTGTTTAAATTTATAAGCAAAGTTAATAATAACTTGCTATAACCAGCATTCACATTAAGTGAAAGTGTCAGCAGCGCATTAATTACTAAAAATCATCTCGTTTTGTGTGAAATTCCTCAATTTGTGTGCCGATTGCCTCGTTTAGCATGTCAAATTTATCGAACATGAAAATTAGACAAATGGGTAGTTCATTTAGGGTATTGACGATGTTCCGGTCGTAATGGCCCAGTCCGTTTTGCCATCGGACGTCGTTTGGGCGGCGACGAGGCTTAATTCCCTCGAAGTGTGTGTTATCTCGATTTGCGCGCAAAACTTCATTCAAACAAATTGGCACTGTATTCATAATATTGACGGTGTTCCGGACCCAATGACGCAGTCTGTTTTGCAATCGGACGTCATTCGAGCATGTTCGAGGCATCGTTTCCTTCATAGCGCATGCCTTCGCAACATATTTGAATCGTCTTTGAAATTTACGACGCCACCTCATCATATTTGCATCGCCTAGAAATTTACCACCATCTCCGATGATCCAAATTTATCAAATAAAATATATATTCTGAATGTCGACGACGTTTCGGACGCAATGGCGCTGTCCGTTTGTCAATCGGACGTCGTTAGAGCATCTTCGAGGCCTCATTTTTTTTATATGCGCGCCTTCACATCATATTTGAATTGCCTCGAAATTCACGACGCCACCTCAGTTAATCAAAATTGATTAAATAAAATATATATTTTGATTGTCGATGACGTTCCTGACGCAATGGAGCTGTCCGTTTGTTGAGCCGACATCGTATCGTCTCTATAGGGGCAAAATCTCCTCGATATGCGTGTTTTGCCTTGAAATTTGTGTCACCACTCCGGATGATCCAAATTGAATATACAAAATACAGTTTTCATAGGTTGGCAATATTTCGGACGCAATGATGAAGTCTATTTGTCGATCTGGGATCGTTTGATCAGTCTCGCGCTTTAATTTCGGGTGTCGATCGTCCCTTTTGATCGATCTTGTCCGATTCAATTGCGAGGGCCCCCGACCTAGCAGAATTCGACATCTTGATCGCAACGACGTCGTCTGTTTGGCAATCGAAAATCATTTGACCCTTTAAGTGGTGCATGGCGCTAAGGTTC